AGACAGGGTTTCGCCATGTTGGCCAGGCTGGTCTCGAACTCCTGACCTTAAGTGATCCACCTGCCTTGGCCTCCCAAAGTGCTGGGATTATAGATGTGAGTCACCGCGGCAGGCCCATTAATAGTTATTATTAAGAATGGGAAGAATTTAAAGTGTTAAAATTTGAGAACATGTTTTAGGTTTTTATTTTTATTTTTTTCTTGAGATGAAGTTTCGTTCTTGTCACCTAGGCTGGAATGCAATGGTGCAATCTTGGCTCACTGCAGCCTCCGCACCCTGGGTTCATGGGATTCTCCTGCCTCAGCCTCCCAAGTAGCTGCCATTTCAGGTGCCTGCCACTATACCCAGCTAATTTTTGTATTTATAGTAGAGACAGGGTTTCACCATGTTGGTCAGGCTGGTCTCTAACTCCTGACCTCAGGTGATCCACCCGCGTTGGCCTCCCAAAATGCTGGGATTACTGGCGTGAGCCACTGCACCCAGCCATATTTTAGGTATTTGAAAATATATTTTTCAGCCGGGCATGCTGGCTTTCCCCTGTAATCCTAGCACTTTGCGAGGCTGAGGTGGGAGGATTACTTGAGCCTGGGAGTTCAAGACCAGCCTGGGCAACATAATGAAACCTTTTCTCTACAAAAAATAAAAATTAGGCCTGGTGCCGTGACTCATGCTTGTAACCCCAGTACTTTGGGAGGCTGAGGTGGACAGATCACTTGAGGTCAGGAGTTTGAGACCAGCCTGGCAAACTTGGTGAAACCCTGTCCCTTTATAAAAAGTACAAAAATTAGTGAGGTAGTGCATGCCTGTAATCCCAGCTACTTGGTAGGCAGAGGCCATAGAATCGCTTGAACCTGGGTGGTGAGGTTGCAGTGATCTAGCATCACGCCACTGTACTACAGCCTGGACAACAAAGTGAGACTTGCTTTAAAAAAAAAAAAAATACAAAAATTAGCTGGACACAGTGGCTTGCACCTATGGTCCTAGTTACTCGGGGAGGTTGAGATGGGAGGATCACCTGAGTCTGGGCTGTATTGAGCTGTGATCATGCCACTGCACTCCAGCCTGGGCAACAGTGAGACCCTGTATCAAAAAAAAAAACAAAAACCAAACAAACAAAAAAGAAACTACACCAAAACTCTACAAAACCCACATTTTTCTTCAAATTCTGAATGACAATATCAGAGGCTAGGACTAAGACCTGTGTAATGAAGCAAAGGCTAGAAGAGCTTCCAAAACAAAGTTCTCCAGCTGGTTTCACTGTTGTTTCAAAACATTAAGTACTGTGGGAAGAGGTAGCTTGTCCTACAAATATCGTTCTCCTGGGCTTCTCTTTTATACTTCTTCATTATACTTTTCTCACTGTTTTTGTTTTTCAGGAGCTCAGGAATCTGTTTAGATTATGGCACCACTTTCACTGGGACTTTCCCCCTAGTGAAATCAGAGAGCACTAACTGTTCAGCATAGCTGTCATAAGTCTCATGTCACTAAATTTGGGTTGTCCCTGGCTTTTCTGGACTTTCCTCATTCCTGCTCTGCTCCACTCTTCCTCCACTTCCTTATTTTAAAGTTCTAGGTTCAAGGCCAAAGCTATTTCTTTTCTTTTCTTTTTTTTTTTTGAGACGGAGCTTCACGCTTGTTGCCCAGGCTGGAGTGCAATGATGTGATCTAGGCTCACCGCAACCTCTGCCTCCCACGTTCAAGGGATTCTCTGCCTCAGCCTCTTGAGTAGCTGGGATTACAGGCATGTGCTAGCATGCTTGGCTAATTTTGTATTTTTAGTAGACATGGAGTTTCTCCATGTTGGTCAGGCTGGTCTCAAACTCCTGACCTCAAGTGATCCACCTGCCTTGGCCTCCCAAATTGCTGTGATTACAGGCGTGAGCCACCGTGCCCGGCCCAGCCAAAGCTCTTTCTTTCAGCTAAGTCCTTGCTACTCAGAATGTGGTCTGTAGACTAGTGTCATTAGCTCGGCAGGGGCTTGTTGGAAAGGCAGAATCACAGGTCCCACTTTTGATCCACTGAATCAGAATCTGCATGTTTAACAAGATTCTTAGGTGATTCATATGTATGTGAAAATTAGTGCTGGAAGTTGCGGATAAACAGAAATTGGGGCTGGGCATGGTGGCTCATGCCTGTAAATCCTAGAACTTTGGGAGGCTGATGCGGGAGGATCGTTTGGAACCAGGAGTTCGAGACCAGCCTGGAAAAATCAGCTGGGTGTGGTGGCATGTGCCTGTAGTCCCAACTACTTGGGAGGCTGAGGCAGGAGGATCATGTAAGCCCAGGATTTTAAGGTTGCAGTGAGCCATGACTGCTCCACCCTACTGGTTAAGAGACTGAGAGCATGTCTCAAAATAAACAAATCCATTCTTTCTGGCTTTCACCCACTTATACCTAATAATAATGATAATTACATCACTAAAATTTTTACTATGTCTCAGGCACTATTTGAAGTGTTTTATTTTTACTTTTTTTTTTTTTTGAGACTGAGTTTCACTCTTGTTGCCCCAACTGGAGTGCAATGGCCTGATCTCGGATCACTGCAACCTCCACCTCCTAGGTTCAAGTGATTCCCCTGCCTCAGTTTCCCAAGTATCTGGGATTACACGCCCAGCAAATTATTGTACTTTTATTAGAGGCAAGGTTTCACTGTGTTGTCCAGGCTAATCTTGAACTCCTTACCTCAGGTGATCCTCCCAAAGTGCTGGGATTATAGGAGTAAGCCACAGCTCCAGGCCTATTTGAAGTGTTTTATACACCTGTTTGTGCTACCTACAGTTTTATGATATAGGTATTATTTTACAGAGGAAGGAGCTGTGGTACGGATAGGTTAATTAACTCGTAGAACACAGTAAATGAGAGAGCAGAGAGCAGGGATGTGGGTCCTGGCTTACCCCTTCTATTATCCTGCTTTTGTGGCTGCTTTTTTGTTTCTGAGCGGCAGAGTGATTTAGTGGCAAGAAGATAGGTTCCCAAGTCTGATGAAATCCCGCTTTAGCCTCTCACAAGTTGCGTGACGTTTTTTTGTGTGGGATTTCATCAGACTTCATTTGTCCTGTCTGAGCCATAGTCCTCATATTTAGTGCATAGTAGGTTATTAGTAATAATTTGTGGGTTTTTCTCTTTTCTGACTCATAGCAGTAGTATGAATTAAGTAAGCTATCTATAAGTTCTTTCTTTGTACTTATTGGTCCCAAGTCGTTCTCCTAAACTGTACTTTTCTAAGGTATTTCTTGCTTTTAGTTCTATGCTTAAGCTTCTCTTCACATCCTCTTGCTTTAAACTTCCTTTTTAAACCCCACATATCTTGATGATCAAACCACATTATCATTCTTCCTTGAGCTTCCCATTTCTGTTAAATGCTGTCTCCTGGAGTCATTTGCTCTTCCTTTTTCAGCCTATTTTCACCTTTAAGACAAATCACTGGCACGGCTATCTCTGTATTGTAGTATTTTTATTTGGAGCTGGTTTTGCTTCTAGAATATATAGTCTATGTGAAACAATTATGTTGAAGACAATAAAGTCATAACTTTGGGGAAAAGGAGCCTAGAGCCGGAGCTTGACATACTTAGACTCAGAAGTTGCTGGGTTTTTGATTTACTGGAAGCAAAATTCCTATAATGCAGCTCAGCATCCTTCTCAGCTCCATAAATTTGCGGGGAAGATGGGCAAGCGAGTGCACTGCCGGAATCAAACTGATCAGGGTTTAAGTGTCTGGGAGAAAACATATCACTTGGGCTTTTCACTTTGGCTGCTGGGGCTGGGAGTACGTTTGAAGTTTACAGAGGTCAGGGATTGATAGAAATTAAAAGCTGAACTCCCCATTCCAAACGAACTCCTAAAAATGGGAGGAATAAACTTCTTACATGATTCCAATAGGAAATTAATTTTGTAAAGGTAAATAGGACATTTGTCCTCCAGGTGACTTTTTTGCAGCATATTTTAGAATAGCCTTAAGATTTGGAAGGATTGAGGCTATTTCCGGATTTTTGTACGCTCAATGCCAGCAAAATAGTGCCATTAAGACAGACATATTAAATTATAGATGGGGATAAGTGAAATTTTTCTTAAGAGTTTCATGGTCTTTTTTTTCCCCTCCCTCTCTCAGCTCTGGATTGAGAGGCCACGATGTAATTGTCAACATAAATGGGAAACCTGTTACTACCACAACTGATGTTGTTGAAGCTCTTGACAGTGATTCCCTTTCTATGGTTGTTCTCCGGGGAAGAAGTAATTTGTTCCTGACAGTCACACCTGAAATAATCAATTAAATACCTTGCTTTAAAGTGGGATTATCTAAAAAAAAAAAAAAAACCCAGTTATATTACCTGGTTTGTATGAAGATGTGCCAAACATGGAGTTTTGTATGAAGATGTGCCAAACATGGAGTTTTTGGATCTTTTTCTTACAAAGAAAAATGGATGGTATCAACCCAAAGGCCCATCAGTGACAGACTGGATAAAGAAAATGTGGTACATATACACCATGGAATATTATGCAACCACGAAAAGGAATAGTACTCTGTAGGAACATGGATGGAGCTGGAAGCCATTATCCTTAGCAAACTAACACAAGAACAGAAAACAAAATACTGCATGTTCTCACTTATAAGTGGGAACTGAACAATGAGAACACATAAACATAGGGAGGAGAACACCACATACTGGGTCCTGGCAGGGGGTATGGTGGAGAGAGGGAAAGGGAGAACATTAGGAAAAATAGCTAATGCATGCTGGGCTTAACACTCAGGTGATGGGTTGATAGGTACAGCAAACCACCATGGCACACATAACAAACCTGCACATCCTGCACATGCACCGCAGAACTTAAAATAAAAATAAACAAAGAAAAATGGTCATCTTTTATGAAATTACAATTTAAAAAGGAAAATGGAGTTTTAAACACATACATACATTCTCAGGGATCATTAGGTTGGGGTATTATACTGTTGCTATAATGCCTGACTATGCAAAGTGAGAGAAGAACATGGTGCCAAAAAGTCTGGGGGAACTGATAACATTTTATTAAAGATAAGAAACAACTAAAAAACAGGCAGTTTCTAATTTAACCGTGAAAGAAGGACACTGTAGTATTTTAAACCTTCTATATAGCCATAAACTAGATATAATACACACATATACAAATAGATCTATCTACCAAAATTTAAGAAACAACCTGAATAAAGTGCAAAGGCAATCAAGTTTTAAGTAATACTCCTTTAGTGCATCAGGTTTTCAGGTTGTATCACATTTGGCCAGGTTTGCGGGGAGATGGAGAATGGGTGTTACTCAGAAGTCAAATGGAAACCGGTAACTTTGGATTGTCACACAGGAATATTGATGATTCTGAAATTAAATTACCACTCTAGCAGTAAGAACTCTTGTCTCCAGCAGCTTTTCTGACTGTGACAAGGGCATCTTCAGTAGTTTCCAGTCTTTTAGCCTTTTAACCAAGCTCTTTTCCCGGCAACATAAATGACTTCAAGTCTTGGAGCTGCCAAAGTTTTTCTTTCTTGAGACAAAGTCTTGTTCTTGTCATCCAGGCTGGAGTGCAGGGGCAGCATCTTGGCTTACTGCAACCTCCGCCTCCAGGGTTCAAGTGATTCTCCTACCTCAGCCTCCTGAGTAGCTGGGGTTACAGGTGGCTGCCACCACACCCGGCGAATTTTGTGTTTTTACTAGAGAAAGAGTCTCACCATGTTGGCCAGGCTGGTCTCAAACTCCTGACCTTAAAGGATCCATCTGCCTCAGTCTCCCAATGTACAGGGATTACAGGCTTGAGTCACTGTGCTGGGAACAAAGTTTTTTATTTTTTAAAGAAAACAAACTTCCGATGGGGTTATGAATATTTTTAGGTTAGAAAAAAGTGTGAAATGAGGCAGAACTTGATAAGGTTTAAAGTAACATCTTATTTTGGGTAATATTACAATTTGTTTTTATTTTTCAGACTTCCCTTATAAGTGAGTTTTTTTTTTAAAAAAAACTGGCATCCTTGAACTCTCTGAGACTCTTATTTGTATAAATTTATGGGGTGCAAGTACGATTTTGTTTCGTGCATAAATTGTATAGATGAACCCCCTTAAGTTCTATGAAAATTCCGTGTACATGCATTTTTCTGGGGAGAGGATCTAGTTTCTTCATGACCCATAAAATTTTAATAAACACTGACTTAGGGTATAGAGATTATGAATTAAAAGTTTACCAATTGTTACGTTATAAGCAAGGTTAAGGTCAGTGTGGTACAGAACCTTCAAGACAAAATAGGCTTGTCTGTTTTAATTTTTTTATACAAAATTGCCACATTTAATAATGTAAGAACAGTGATTATATTCATCAGGAATAATAAAGCAAGAAATTCTTAGGAGAGCTACAAAATGATAGAATGTATCCAGGGAAGTTAACTGTGATATCTGGTCTTAAAGTCAATTATTATGAGGTAAACTTCGAGTGAGGACTACTTTATTTCTAGAATTTGTAAGTTATTCTGAGTAACAGGCTCTTTCACTGACTTGGCCACATTGCCCACCTTTGATTTTTATTTTTTAAAAATAAAGACGTGGTTTCACCATGTTGGTCAGGCTGGTCTTGAACTCCTGACCTCAGGTGATCTGCCCGCCTTGGCCTTCAAAGTGCTTGGATTACAGGTGTAAGCCACCACGCCCAGCCTCCACCTTTGATTTTATATTAATAGTTCTTTCAACTTGGATTGCAAAGGATGGGAACTGAGCTTTTAAAACCATTTACAGTTTGGAACATCTCCTTTAATTCTTGGTGATTTGGGAATACAAAAGTGTGGCTGTATCTCTTTCTGACTGCTGCAGCACACAGGGAGAGCTTCAGTATTATGCTTCTTTTGAGAATGTGCTCAGTTTCTCTTTGCTCTCATAAATCAGGTCCCAATTTAGCAGAAGTATATTTTTCTTTTTGAAGCCACAAGACTCCTTACTTTATCTCACCTAATCACGAAGAATAGTTTTACAGAAACTTGTAGGAAATCTTATTACCATGGGCTGGTAAATGCAAATTTCTAACATGGGCTGGTAAATGATGATTTTTGGATTGGACAATTCTGCCAGGAGGAGTAGCTCAACTCACACGTCTGATGCCGCTGGCTTTCAAAACATGATTGGAATGAAGAAATTTTGTGCTGCATATACTGACTCTGGAACATAATGGAGACACAAGGTAGCTTAATAGGGTGGTTCATTTCAAATGACTAGATTTCTGCAAAACAAATATAATTTTTAGTTTACTCCCCATACTGAAAATACTCATATAGTACTCCAGGTTGGCAAAATTTATTCTGTATTTAAATTCAGAAAGTCAGACTTTCAGTGTGTATTACATTCCACGGCCATTTCCACTTCTGCTGAAGATTTTCATTGTTCAGCTTCAAATCTCCTTGCAGGAAGACTCAGGGTCACAAAAGGAATGTGGATACAAATATTTACTTGGCTCAACTTGTTAAATCCACTTGCTCCAAAGGACTGAACATATAGCAGTGTACAGAAAGGAAGACTCTGGAAACTCATCCACAGCTTATAAACTCGTCACTATCCTTTATGTTTTGTGCACGAGGAAAGGTACAAATTTGATTCCCACAACACTTTTTGCTTGTCATTTCTAGTCTGTAAGATAAAATCTGGGTTGAAATTCCAAAGTCCAAAGAAACCTTCTTAACCAAAACCTCAAAAGAGGGAAACTAACGTCAGGTCTGATATCAAAGAAGAGTTTTGAGCCTGTAGAGATGAATTCAAAAGACAGAGCTTTCACCTCCTCCCTGGGCCTTGATGGCAGCTCTTTTTTAGTAAACAGTGCACCAGTTGCTGCCATCACTTGGCATCAGCCCTCCAGTAATTAGCAAAATAAGGTCAACAAACCACCAAATCCCAAGTCCTCCAAGTGTCAACAGCTTCCCTACTGCCGTGCCAGTGTGTCCCAAGCAGAATCGATCCACGCCAAAACATCCCAGGAAGAAGGAGTAGAGTAAAGTGGTTATGAAGTAATGTCCGGTATACCTTGGTGAAAGGAACAAAAAGGAGGATGTCTGATTGCACAAAAATTCAAACACTTAAAGATTAGTGAATTTAACATAAGTGATGAGAAGGTGCAGTGGACCCTCTGTGGCCTTTTACCCTCCATTTTGTTTTCTTTTATGATATGGTCAGTGAGGTGAGAGGCTCAGGAAAAACCAAAGTTTATTATATTCATAGGTTCTAGAGACAGGAGGCACATGATGTTATACAGGGCTACCTGGCAAAGATACCTGGGGGTTTGAAAGAAGCAAGGGGAGGGTTTTAGGTCACTATCTTCCTTGGGGTTTCTGTAGGAACGGCAAGACTGGGCAGGGCAAATAGTTTAGAATTGGCTAGTCTGAATAATTTCAGCAGGCTTTAAGGTATAGGAGTGGTCCCTGGTTGCCTGGCACTTGGCCCTGAGAAGATTAAGTGAGAAGAATATTATTTACTGGGGTGTATGGGCCAGAAACAGAAGATATACGTCTGAACTAGTTTGCATATCAAAAGCTTGCTCCCTGTTGGGCCCTCTGCTATCTCCAAGAAATGACTAGCTTCAGTAAAGGCAGTCTCCTCATAGCCAGGAAGGTTTCTAAGATGTCAAACATTACAACGTAAAATAATTTTAAAAACTTTTTGACCAAGTCGTGGTGGTTCATGTCTATAATCCCAGCACTTTGGGAGGCCAAGGAGGGAGGAGCATTTCAGCCCAGGAGTTCCAGGCCAACCTAGGTAACATAGTAAGACCCTGTCTCTACAAAAAAAAAAAAAAACACCCAGTAACAATTAGCCAGCTGTGGTAGATTATGCCTGTAGTTCCAGCTAATCAGGAGGCTGAGGTGGGAGGATCACCTGAGCCTAGGGGGTTGAGGCTGCTATGAACCACATTTGTGCCACTACACTCCAGCCTGGGCAACAGAAAAGACCCCATCTCTAAAAAAATATATATATTTTTTATAATACACCCTCTTCACCCTTATTTTACTCTCCTTTAAGAATCTCTAGTTTGTAGAAGGTCGCAATAGATTACTTGCTAAGATATGGAGATCTCTAAGAACAAAGACCGACTTACAGAGTTGGACTGGACAAGAAGTCATCAAGCACATTTACACAACTGGCACCATGGCAGGAGGAGGAGTCTGGGCTCCCATCCTGCTCTGTAGAGGGTCTTTTCCTGAGACTCAGCTGGCTTCCTGCGTGTAGTTCTCTAAGGAAGCCCTGTCCTTAAATGAACACTGGATCTTCATTACTCTTTCCTGCTGTTTTGTGGCAGCTAAAAGCAAGGACTTCTTCATAAGGTTCTGCCTTTATACACTGTGCTGACATAGCTGCAGTTACTCTAATATTACTCGTCACAGCCATAGACTCTTTCAGTTAGCAAACTGTGTAAGGCAATTCTGCATCTTCAAGCAGAATTTACAGAAATAACCTTGATCCTTTACCTTTAAGATAAACTGATTTTCAGAGTGTGGAGCCCACACTTTTTATAATAAAACCTTTATTCCTGAAATACTAAGGTAATTTGCACAAGATTTATCCCTATTGTTGGAATTTTGGGGCTAGATCATATGGCCCAAATTTTGTAGATGAGGGATAAACTGAGTGTTCAAAGGCGCTTAGCTAGTTAGACAAAGAGACAGTTAGCACTTACCTTCTGGGCTCAAGGCCAGAATCCTCTCTACCATAAACATACTGCTTCTGTCAATGAATTATGCAGAATGGTAGTCACAGTCCCTCTTTGGTGCTTAAAAATAGTCATACCAAAAAATAACAATGAGCTGAGCACAGTGGCATGTGCCTGTTGTCTCAGATACTCGGGAGGCTGAGGCAGGAAGACTGCTTCAGCCCAGGAGGGCCAGGCTGCAGTAAGCTGTGACTATACCACTGCACCCCAGCCTGGGCAACAGAGTAAGATCCTGTCTCTTAAAAAAAAAAAAGACAAGGAAAATGGCTCTACCTCCAACCAAGTACCAACTACACCATTTAAAGTAACGCTTACTTTATACAAGGTTTATTTTCTCGTAGGAAGGTCCTAGGACTGGCACACTCAATTCCATCTAGGGCGTGGCACTGGACTGAAGTGTGTTCCACATCACTGTAGGCCTGACCGCCGAACTGTGGAATAACAACCAAGACCAAAATCAACTCACCAGAGCAACTGACACAAACATATATCTTTTTTTTTTTTTCTTTTAAATGAAACAGAGTCTCCCTCTGTTGCCCAGGCTGGAGTGCAGTGGTGAGATCTCGGCTCACTGCAACCTCCGTCTCCCCAGTTCAAATGATTCTCCTGCCTCAGCCTCTCAAGTAGCTGGGACTACAGGCTCACATCACCTCACCCAGCTAATTTTTGTATTTTTAGTCGAGATGGGGTTTCACCATGTTGGCCAGGATGGTCTCGATATCCTGACTTTGTGATCTGCCTGCCTCAGCCTCCCGAAGTGCTGGGATTACAGGCAAGAGCCACTGCACCCGGCCACAAACATGTATCTTTATATTCACTAATAAAAGCTGCCTCAGGATTACAATTATTCCAACAAGGTTGATGTACAGCTATGCTCAAGGGCAAGGAATTTAGTGACAAACTTCATGTGGTTTTAGATGAGTCCATATTAAATGTACATTGTTTTAAATAGACTCCTGCTTTTCTCTTCATGACTGGCTTTTTCAATAATACAGTTTAAAAAAAAAAACCCAAACACGCACAATGGCATTAAAAGCCACTTAGAAGAGATGCATACAATGCTTTACTTATCTCATATTCACAGGAAAAAGAGCATATAACTGAGCATTTGGGAGTGGGTATTTAAAAAGTCACTGCCTATTAGAGGTCTCTTTTATATCTATTATAAATGAATAGAATTAGGAAAAAACTCAGGAGATCATCTGACTCAAGACTCTATTTAGGTCATAAATGTGTATTACCTGATATCTGTGGGACATCTGCAAGTTTAAATTCCAGCCAAAAATTTCAGAACTGGAGCTCTTACCCTCTTGCCATTGCTTGACTGAATTCTAGCCGAGAAATCACAGATACTAATTTTTTACTAGTACCTGATATCAGTGCTTATTACTATGTTCATCGGCAAGTTCCTCAAAGGGAAGGGACTAGGAAATAAAAATGCTTGCAAGATAAACTCAATTTTTAATTAAAATGGGCAAAAGTGATTTCTATACAATATTAACTCAAACTTTTATCAATAATTATCAACAGTTAAAATTTCACTATCTTAAAAAATATTTCTCTATATATGATTTCAGTAAGAGTTGTCTTTTTAGTCCTATTACTGTCAGGTTTATTTCTCTGTGTCTGAATTTTTTTTTTTTTTGAGATGGACTCTCGCTCTGTTGCTAGGCTAGAGTGCAGTGCTGTGATCTTGGCTCACTGCAACCTCTGCCTCTTGGGTTCAGGTGATTCTCCTGCCTCAGCCTCCCAAGTAGCTGGGATTATAGGCACAGGCCACCACACTCAGCGAATTTTTTTTTTCTGTATTTTTAGTAGAGGCGGGGTTTCACCACATTGGCCAGGATGGCCTCGATCTCCTGACCTGATGATCCACCTGCCTCAGCCTCCCAATGTGCTGGGATTACAGCGATGGGCCGCCGTGCCCGGCCCCTGTGTCTGATTTAGTACAAAAAATGCTTTCCCATTATCCTCAACACCTGACCGAGTTTTGACTTGCATTTTGAAGCATAACAGGATGGTGAGTCCATGGTGGAGAGAAGATACATAAGCTTCATTTTTTTTTTTTTTTGAGACGGAGTTTCACTCTTGTTACCCAGGCAGGAGTGCAATGGCGCAATCTCAGCTCACCGCAACCTCCGCCTCCTGGGTTCAGGCAATTCTCCTGCTTCAGCCTCCTGAGTAGCTGGGATTACAGGCACGCGCCACTGTGCCCAGCTAATTTTTGGTATTTTTAGTAGAGATGGGGTTTCACCATGTTGACCAGGATGGTCTCGATCTCTTGACCTCGTGATCCACCCACCTCGGCCTCCCAAACGCCCGGCAATTATTTTTTTTAGAGATTGATTAGGAATGTATACCCAGCTTTAGGGATGTTATTAATGGAACGTAATAGCTTTTTTCCATTCCAAGAAGCCACTGTTAACCAAGGCTTCCCCTGGAATGCTTTAACGTCCTACAAAGACATACTGATAGACCCTATCTATCTCCTAAGGACATGGTGGAACCTGCTTGCCTGGAGAAAAGAAATGTCACTGGCAAGAGAAGCTCTGCCCCAGATGCATGTGTAACAAAGATACTGCCCAATCCATCATCAGTGTTGGAAAGTACATAGATTTTCTTTGGCTCTTTTAGGAAAGGTGCATGCCTTGAAGGGGAGCCAGGGGTGACATTTTAGTTTCAAAATCTGTCAATGGCCAAAGGAACCAAAGACAGCTTGGTCTTTGCACCTGGGCGGTTTTGGCACTGAGAGTGCTCCTTCATGAGGAAACCAAATGTCTTGTTCAGTCACTGGCCTTGGCCATGCTGGAAATTTCCAGTAACAGTCTTTCTGATGAAATTCTTCAAAAAACTTTGTACCTCTTATACTTTTAGGTAACAGCATGTAGACATTACTATTTCTTTATGGAAGGGTTTGCTCTTACCACAAAACAAAAACTCACCTTGAGACAACCATAACCAAGTTCCTGGGATGCAGTTGCATTTCCAACATGATCCACTGGGTCTTCACATTCTATAAATTCATCGGGTCTGTAATTCACCAGTAAGATCATGATCATCATCATACAGTATTTGCAAATCGCTGTTTGCATGCACGTAATCAAAAAAGGCAAAAAACAGTTCTTCACCAAATTTTCTAGGGTTCAGTTTCACTCTGCTGACCCCTTTCCAAGCCAATTAAACTGAAGCACAGCAGGTCAAATGGGCAGCCACCCAAATGAACCTTTTGTTGGAGAAGGGAGGTGTTTCTGGTCCTATTTCTATAAAGATTCTACTTCTGACATGGTTTCATCTCTTCAGTAGGCAAACAACCACAAGATTTTGGGGGCAAAATTTAAGTCAAAGGATTCTCAGTCCTCTTTGCATTTCTCAAATGCCTTTTCTTGTTTGATCAAAAAGAGAGGTTAAAAAATGGCGTGATTCTTCAACGGTAAGGATATTGATTGCTTTAAAAAAATGCCTTGTAGGCAGAGAAAAGTCATTTACTTCATTTATGCTTTATTCAGTACTGGCATTGATTCAACCAATATTATTCTTGGGCTAAAGGGCGCAGGGCAGAGAAAGCACAACCTTACGCCCTTCTTCCAGAGGCTATATGTTACTCCTTCCCAGTTCTCCTCTTTCGGGATCCCAAAGGCTCTGCCACTGACACACACGAGTTTTCCCTGCATGGGTAGTGAACCTGGGTCACGATATTTACCTCCCGAATGTTGACCACTGGGTTCTCCACGGTGCAGGGTCTGAAAAAAAAGCAGCCTCCCCTCCATCCCACCTTCCCCCAATACCCATATATCCCTGGCACACCCTCCACCTCCACCTGCCTCGACCACTTACAGGTATGAGCAGAGGATGACCGGAGACTGGGGGTCGCCATATTCCCAGCTCGCAGCACCCGCGGGCCCCTCCGGGTGGGCGGCGCCAGCGGATGTGAGCTCAGGCTCGGCGGTCGCATTTTGCGAGTGACTCCGAGACACACAATGCAGGAGAAGTAAATTCCCCAGCAGCAAAGCTGCCTGGCCGCACAGAAGTAAGTAACTCACAGGGCAACCACCCAGCACCATTTTCCTGGGCCCTGGAGCGGAGACCCAGCCACGACCATAACAACCCCAGTCGGGCAGCACAGACCCAATCAACTGCGTGGTCAGGCCTTTTCCGTGTAGCTCGGCTCGCGTAGCCCCGCCAAACAGCCAATGGACGCGCAACTCGACGCTCCGCCCACCTCCGCCAACCAACAGAAAAAGCCGAGCAGATGGGCGGGACTGCATCGCCCCCCACTTCTGCTTCTCGATTCCTCTTCAGGGTTTCACGCTCCTCCTTCTTTTGCGCTAAATGCATTCTCCAATCGGATCCGTCGACCCCATGGCGGGCGTGCCCAGGAGCCGACGGGGCGGGGTGGATATGACTGGCTGGCCGACTAGTGGGGGTGGCCGCGGCGGGTTTAGAAATCCTATTCTTGCGCCAGGGACTGGATTTTTCCCTACGTCAGCGCAGCGAGGCGATGTCGGGAGCGAGCTCGGACCGAGGGCTGAGTTGCGTCAGTGCCGCGCGCGTGCTCGTCCCCGGGCGCGTGCCCGCGCTTCCCGGCCGGCCTTGGGGCCCCGGCAGGGTTGGAAAATGATGGAAGAGGCGGAGGCGGAGGCGACCGAGTGCTGAGAGGAACCTGCGGAATCGGTCGAGATGGGGTCTGGCTCCTGCCCACCCTCTGGGACCCTACGCGTCCGGTCTTTGCTGTTGCTTGGCCTGGTGGGCCCAGTCCTTGGTGGGGCGCGGCCAGGTGGGTGTCCATTCGCCCAGTCCTTTGGGACGGCTGCTTCTTCGGGACGGGGCGCTTGGAGTGAACCTGTGGTGCCTGGGAGTGGAGGGACTCGACCTGGCGATCGGACCCGGGGTCGGGGGTGTGTGCGTACCCGCCCAGGTGTGTGCGAACCGGGGTCGCACCCTCGGCTCGGGGTCTGGCGCCCCAAGCCCTTCTTGGCCCGGGTCCCCTGCCCAGTGCCGCTTCCTCCGTGTCCTGCTCGGTGGAGCCGTTTCGGGCGTCCCCCCATCCCCCGCCGCCTCGCGCGGAACCGGGTCCCCCAGACGCCCCGAAGCCCGCGCTGGGGCAGGCGCTGACCTCGGCGGGCTAGAGCCGGGTAAGCTGGGCGCGCCCGCAGGGGTTCAGTCTCCAAACGCCTGCAGGGAGGGAGCTGGCTCCCGCTGGTGAAGTTAATGTCACTTGGAAAGAGACTGTGAGAGGGAACTTTTGCTGCAGGTTATAATTTGAGATTTTGAGTTAATGCTATCCTAGGGTCCACACAGCTAAATTTAGTGGTGGAATAAAGGTGGGGGGAGGTGGGGAACGCTCATTAATCTTGGGTCATTTTTGTAGTAAGAATACTTTATTTTGTAAACAACGTGCTGCATTTCGATAGCCAAACCGGTTTTAAAAAATCTGTGTTTTTATTGGGTTCATACTGTCTTAAATCCGGACGGATAATCCCTGCTCTGTTGAACTCACAGGATTATTGTAGGAATTCAATCATTTGTGTGAAGTCGTTTTTGAATTGTGAAACTGCCCTTGACTATGTAAGATATTTGTATTGGAGGTACCCAAACCTAGTGGAAGCAAATTGTCAGCACGCTGGTGTCTTTCTGGAAACAAGTTATTTATTTTGGATTTGTATGAGATAATTGTTTATATGGCTGTATTTTCTGTATCAGCGACAGAAGATGATGGAAATGGGAGTTTTTACTAAATCATTGATTGAGAGTTATTCAAAGGTGATAATAGAAGACTTCATCACAGGACTGTTGACCTTCAGGAAACTAATTACTTTTTTCCCTTATCTTTGGCTGCTTCATTTGAAATTAAGTAAATTTGCCCCAATGTGGAAATGTTGAACTCTGAAAATGTTTTGAATGGGAAGTTGCCAAATTTCTTCTGGTTAAAACTACTTTTCCGGTGATATTCTAGGTGGTTAACATTCACCAATGTTTAAGGTGGAGATGATTATGCATCTGGAGTTTCATTAATCTCTGATTTGTGTGTGTGTGTGCGTTTGTAAATATAAATAAGACTGTTTTTAAATGTTAGTATAACTGTCAGTCATTACCGACCTGCATATCGATGAATGGAAAACCTGATGGTCTTTAAGTGTGGTTTGGGCCAGCTCCTTAACTTCGGCATGTGTATGCCTCTTCAAAATTTAGCCAACGTTTATGGAACCACTATAAACACCACGCAATTGCTTGTAGAGGGGCAGAAGGTGACCAAATATGCTAAGTGTATCAGAGAGATGTTGGGGAAGGATTTATAGAGAAAATGATATTTGAACTGGGCTACATCGGTGGTCTTTCAAGTAGAATAGTAGGAATATATTCTAAGCAGAAGAAAGTTTTTCAAGAGTATGGGGGGCGCATATGAAAGAACATGACTTATTAGAAAATGATGAAAATGTCAATACGACTTCATGCAGACTATAAAAGGGGGGGATGGAAGATCAAACTAAGGTAGGTGGGTACCATTTGGGAAGGTTTCTGTACGGAGCTAAGGTGTTTGGACTTTACCCTGTAGGAAGTTCTTTGGGCAGGGGAGGTTTTAAGTAGGGGTGTGACCTAATCTCATTTTCTGTTAAGAAAACCGGCAACACTGTGAAGGATAGAATCTCAGAGGGAGAGACTGGAGATTGGGAGACTGGTTAAGAGGCTTTTGTAATAGTGTGCAGTGAGTCAACTCTTGTTTCTCTCCGGGAATGTTCATGCAAAATCAGCTGACCAAATTTTTGCAGTACAAGATGTTTAAAATGTGCTGAAACATTTTCCAGGAATGAAGGAGAAATTGGAGGACTTAATAAGTACCACACACACATCAGTTGCATTAGTAGTTAAGTAGGTCTTATAGGATTTTTACTACCATTTATAACATTGTCTCAATAAGGAAATGCAGTATCATTTCTAAACAGCTGACTTTCAGTAATTTTTTTTTTTGTATGTGTCTTTTTAAGCTGGTACTGACAAAGGTAGCTTTGTGTCTTTGTAAAAAATGACAAGGGGAATCAGGTATGAAACCTTTTCTGATTTTCTAAGATTGTAATTATGATGAACAGATTTAGAAATTTTTTTTAAACAAAGACTGGCATTCTAAAGAAAATGAATTTGAAAGCTTACGCACGGTGAGTCACTGTGAAATGATTTGTGTAGTAAGAACATAGGTCCAGGCCGGGTGCGGTGGCTCACGCCTATAATCCCAGCACTTTGGGAGGCTGAGGCAGGTGGATCACGAGGTCAAGAGATCGAGACCATCCTGGTCAACAAGGTGAAACCCTGTCTCTAGTAAAAATACAAAAATTAGCTGGGCATGGTAGCGAGCGTCTGTAGTCCCAGCTACTTGGGAGGCTGAGGCAGGAGAATTGCTTGAACCCAGGAGGCGGAGGTTGCAGTGAGCCGAAATCGTGCCATTGCACTCCAGCCTGGGTAACAAGAGCGAAACTCAGTTTCAAAAAAAAAAAAACTTAGGTCCATATGTATCTCGTTTTTAGATGCCAGCAAAATATTTGAATTTGATATGTTGTATTTGTGCTGATAGGAAAATGTAGCCTTTTACATTTAAGAATGATTTGGTTTTTTCAAACTTATTTTTTTTTGCATTGGAGTCTCACTCTGTCACCTGGGCTGGAGTGCAGTGGTGTGATCTCAGCCCACTGCAACCTCCACCTCCTGGGTTTAAGCAATTCCTCCTCAGCCTCCTGAGTAGCTGGAACTACAGGTGCATGCCACCATGCCTGGCTAATTTTTTAATATTTTAGTAGATATGGGAGTTCACTGTGTTGCTCAGGCTGATCTCGAACTTGCCTTGGCTTCCCAAAGTGCTAAGATTGCAGGTGTGAACCACCGCGCCTGGCTTCAAACTTTTAAGTAAAAAAGAAAACATTATAATTAAAATATGTACAAACCTAGTTACTGGTTTCCAAATGTTTCAAAAAGCACTTGAAGCTTTAACTTAGCAAATTTATATTTGCTCTTTGTTAAAAAAAATCCTGGTTTATTATATAATTTATTATGGAATCCCTCAAAAGATGGAAACTCTAAGTAACTGGAAGCTTTTTTTGGGAATATCCACAAGCTCAAACATATGACATAGCCTCATATTTCTCTTTGATACCTAATATATACTGGAGGCTTGGAGTCATGCCATCCTTTTGAGTCAGCACTATGGGACTGCCTCATAAATGAATGCCGTCCTTTTGGGGTATCAGATCCCTCACAGTCCTTTTTTTGTTTTTTTTTTTTGAGATGGAGTCTCACTCTGTTGCCCTAGCTGGAGTGCAGTGGCACCATCTTGGCTCACTGTAATCTCCGCCTCCCGGATTCAAGCGATTCTCCTGCCTCAGCCTCCCGAGTAGCTGGGTTGATAGGCATGTGCCACCATGCCTGGCTAATTTTTTGTATTTTTAGTAAAGACAGGGTTTCACTGTGTTAGCAAGGCTGGTCTTGGTCTCCTGACCTCATGAGCCACCCACCTCAGCCTCCCAAAGTGTTAGGATTACAGGCATGAGCCGCTGCACCTGGCCCTCCTCACAGTCTTTGAATGGGTCTAATGTGGACCCAGCTAAAGTTGAATGGCACAATGTTGTTTGGATATTGAGAGGTTATTATAGTTTATTTTCTATTTCATGTTGTTGTTTTAATCAGATTATTTTCCCAAAGTGATCATATGTGGGACACTGCTTGAGTCACATCTTTTTTTTTTTCTTCAAGTCGTGGTCTTGCTTTGTTGCCTAGGCTGGAGTGCAGTGACTGGGCAATTCTTGGGCTGGGCAACCCTGGGACTGCAGGGTTGCGTCACCATGCTGGCTTATTAAAAAAACTTTTCTGTGTGTGGAGAGGCAGTCTTGCTCTGTTGCCCAGGCTGGTCTCAAACTACTGGGCTCAAGCATTCCTCCTGTGTCAGCCTCCCAGAGTGCTGGGATTACAGGTATGAACCACCATGCCTGGCCTTAAATCACATCTTTTTTTTTAGAGATGGAGTTTCACTCTTGTTACCCAGGCTGGAGTGCAATGGCGTGATCTCGGCTCACCGCAACCTCCGCCTCCTGGGTTCAGGCAATTCTCTTGCCTCAGCCTCCTGAGTAGCTGGGATTACAGGCACGCGCCACTGTGCCCAGCTAATTTTTTATATTTTTTAGTAGAGATGGGGTTTCACCATGTTGACCAGGATGGTCTCAATCTCTTGACCTCGTGATCCACCCGCCTCGGCCTCCCAAAGTGCTGGGATTACAGGCGCGAGCCACCGCGCC